GGGGGGGTGAAGTGCTGGACGAGCCCAGTGTCACGGGGTTTTTCGCCGGCCTGACTACACACTACTGTTCTATAGCCGACACCACCAAGATCAACCAGCATAGCTACGCGTACCAGTTGTTGGGGCTGGACAATGTCTGACACTAGGCTCGTCCAGCATCGCACCCCCTCCACCATGCGACGCCCGTCCCGTGCCACGTCAGCGACAAGACGCCAAGGATCCACCGTCACACGAATCCCACACCGCGCAATCCGCCTAGGGGTTAGTTTGTTCGTTCAGAAGCTCGTTCATTCGTTCGTCGGGGGCTTACCCAACGGAATTGTGCGGCCGTCCCTGGACCCACGTGGATCATCTGGATGAACCAGTGTGGCGCAGCAGGGAATCAAGTTATTGTCACTTGTTCCTGCCCGTCACATGGTCGGCCCATTGATGCTTGAAGCCACGCAGAATGACTTCGTGCACCGGGCGAGACTGATGTGAAACTGCCACCTATTTGATATTTGACCAATCATATCGTGTTATCACGCTAAGTGCGTGATACTACGTATTAATAGTATGTTGGCAAACGACAGAACGATCGCCCAATCGAAATCCTCTCACATCGGTCATCCAATCAAAACGAGACTTGATGTCGGTTACCCAATCCCCATCCAGAAATGTGTCGGTTCGATGTCAGATGCTACCTACATGTCGGAACCAGCAGAATTGTGTTAGCCTTACCCCTAAATAACTTTGATTGGTCAAAATAATGTAAGATAAGTTACTTATACAATATTGATTGGTCAAAATGGTGTAAGATAAATTACTTCTACAATATGATAGGTAGAGATAGATAATAGAGGCCATTTATTGGCCAAAATTAGAGCATACAAGTACTATTGTGCTTTGCACTTGTTTTGGCGTCGGTTGTTTTACGTGGCTAAAAGAGTGGTACTGCTGCTGTAACTGTGTTACAAAGTTAAATAAATACCTGGTGTTTTAGCTAATTCACTGGGGTTTTATAAATGCCAAATAACTCTGAGCAATAATAATCACATGTGATGCTGAAGGGACCAAAACACCTTGGCTATTAATTCCATCGCGTAGTACACGCTACCTGCATGTACTATGCGATGGAACAAGAAGATGGCGTGGTTTTCTACGATGTGGCACCAAAAGTGTACATCGCTGTACGGTAGAACTCCGGCGCTTGTCCTCGCTGTGTGTTATTTGTAATATCAAAAGTTGTTCATGGTGACCAGTGAATTGTGCAATTTGGTCCCGAGAATAGCAGATATAACTTCGATTTGCACTTTTCAAATGTGCAAAAGCGAGGGAGTTGCATAAATGACCTCCCTATAATTACATTCTGTAACGAAAGACATCCTAAATCACGGTACGGATTAAGGTGATTCATGTAATTTCCACCCACCATGTAATTTCCGCCCAGTTGGCAGCCAATCACAATCATTAAACGGTGATGATTGGATAAAATGAGGTACTCAGGTAAATAATACCCTTAGCATTTAATATTTTCATTCTTTGACAACTCATTTAATCTCATAATAACAATGACTTCTAAATTAAATACCTTGTACACTTTATAAAGATTACTATTTTAATAGTAATCTTTATACCATCGAAATTCTCAGAACTTCTTAAAAGAAGTTCTGAGAATTTCGATGGTCAAATCTGTCATACATTATTCAAGTCAAACACCTGAGCGGAATTTACATTTACATAGGAAAACTACAGAATTGTAAAATTCGTCGAGCAAAAGGACAAGCGATATAACGATGGACCCTGCATAAACTAATAAAGCTCCTCACGACCTTGAGAATGCATGTTTTTGCAGCCTCATCACACACACGGACGCGACTTCAAAAGTACGACAAGCTGGGAGGAAATTGCATGAAACACTGGGGTCGATGTAACAAACACCCAGGTTTATGGTGTGAATAGCCAAAATGAGTGAAAAGCACAATAAGTGCGGTCGGAATATTGATAATATTCATCGATAGTAGGGAACCGAGTTTGTTGTGGGGGAATTAGTCGCAAATTCGCTCTGATGTTAGATGGGAAATGTCTAAGCATTACATCATAAAAGTGGGACGTGGGGGAAGCCCCTGGGAAGAGCCTCAGTCTCCCCTAGTACCAAGAAGCGAAACGAACGTCCGACCAACCCTGCCAGACTACCAGTATTGAACGTTAGTCGAGGCCGTTGAAAGGGGGGATGTGGCCACCGTCGCGACGCTGACAAGCTCCCATCCCCCCATCAATCTCAAACAAGAACAACACGTACGAATGTTCTCAAGGCTTTCTCAGTGGCTCCAAATGTGTGGACGCTTTTGGAAGTCTTTCAACGAACTCCACGCTGCGGGGACTGCGTCATTCGAACACGGAGCTGCTCCATCCACTGTGGCGTGCATTCTCGAGCGGTCCAGTCAAGGCAATCGATCGTGTTTCCATTCGTGAAAGGAGCTGCACTTGGCGACGTAATCCCGAAACTTCCCCTTTGAAATACTTGCTGGTACCGCATAAATACCTCGCGGATTACAATGTCCTTCTTTCTTTACATGGCAGTCAAGACGAACGACGAAGAGTTTGCCCTATCTACGACATCTATTGATGGATGTCGTTCAAATGTTCAAACCTTCGTGGCAGATTTCGAGGCATTGTGTGAGCCACTCTTCAAGCCTCCAACGTCCACGTTAATGCGAGCAACACTCAAGTTGGTGGGGCTGTCAAAGGTGTGGCGACGACGTTGCGGTACCGCTCACGCACGTTGTACTTGGACGATTCAGGCCACCATCTACGGAGTGTGACAAGTGGTGAAATTGGTGGCCGTGCATTTCCCCCTGGCTGCTTGGGACGCGGCTCTATTTTGCGAGTGCATTAGCAAGGCTTCATACTCGACGGTGTGGTGGGAATTGTATAAATGCCACGAAGCCATTCACCTTGACATCCACAAGTTCTATGACGCAATCCAAGCTTGAGACGCCGCGTTGGTACGTTTTGAATTGGCCTCAGAACGATTCGATCCAAAATAGTCCATGGGGCCTCTTGCGGTCATGACGAGTTCGGGGGATACTGAGCTCGTCAACCCCATCCCAGGCCTCGAAACCCTTCGACGACACGATGAAAACCATGTCCTTGAAGAGGCTGAAGTTTATTG